CACTCTCCAGTAAGATCCAACACAGAACAGTTAATTTTGAGACGACGGCGGGACGTAGCTACTCCCGGTGGATATTTCGGCACGATTTACGTGGCGGGGATCGAGGCAGAAAGGTAACAATCAACCTATTTCGTCAGTCGTCTATATACGCTCGGATTCGGATGGTCGCTTTGCGCGTCGCTCTTTCAAATTGATTTGTACACGACTATCGCCCGCTAGCATGAAGTAATACGTGAATCGCGGCCAAATCGTTAAGGATCTATCTCGACTCGCGTAACGAAAGCCTGCGGGAAGCTGCGGCGGTATCAATGCCTCGACAATAATTCCGCACGTCGCAGAACTCATCGCTCTCATCATTTTGAATTTCAATCGCGTGTTTTCGAGCGTCCCTAATTCGCGGATTAGTCGCTAAATTAACTCGTGAGGCGCGGAGGAGGAGCGGGAGGGGGATGGGCCGCGGTGTGCGTGACGTCACTTCCATAGTCATTGGCAAAATGTCTCGCGCCGCGCGCGAAGAGTGCGAAGACGCCTTCCGTAAGTATCGCGATTGCGATCGCCTCGTCTTTCGATGTCAACCGTGTGACTCGGATTTATAATATATATAGATTTCGCGAGATGCGCACATAACGCGAGAGATTCTCTCGATCAAAGTTCGAATATCTCACGTGGTATACGCGACGACGCGATGAAACGGCCGCGCGTACCCCCCGTCGACATATCAGGAGACACGGTAGTGGCTTGGTGTCAAGTGTTTAACAAGCCATGCCGCCGGGTCTCTTAACGCGAGCCGTCGCGTTGCGAGCACCCGAGATTTTGAGATCTTAATAACGGTCGAACCGATTAAGTTCCAAGCAGGCTTAATCGACAGCTTAGATTCGGTTTGTGTAATGAAAGTGTTTTTATTTTTTTGCTACATGTCTTACGAGCGGAGATATTGCAATGCAAAGTCCGAAATATAGGAATTTCAGATTAAGAAACGTCATCGTTGTCGTCGTCATTATCGTCGACCAGTTGCGGGGAAGTGTACTTTTACAATTTCTGACGCAAGTGTTTTTACATAAAAATTATTTTATTAAGATTAAATTTTTTTATTTTGCATTCTAAGTGCATACCTGTCACTCGGGTTGTAAATTAATCATTTTATGAGAGTATAATTTGACGCCAATTATTGACAACAAATATATTTTATACAAACGATATACACATCACTTAGGTTGAATAACATAATTTTTATTTAACTTGACGCCATTTACTGATATCAAGTCATTTATAGAGGTAATAGTAATATATATATCATTGAAGTAAAGTTAGTTAACATCAAAGTATAAAGAAGAATATCATTTAAGTTTTATGTTTTAAAAAAA